AAAAAAACAAAAAGTGCCCAAACCCCTTTGGGGGGGGGGGGTCCCCCTTTTTGGGGCCCCCAAAAATCCCCCCGGGGTTTTCGCTTTGGGTTTTGGAAAACCTGTTTCGGGGAAAACCCGGGGGTTTCCCCCCCCGTTTTTGGGGGGGGGGGGGTAAAAGGTCAAAAGGTTTGGGGCTGCCCGGTTTGGGGTCCCCCCCCCCCCCCCCCCCCCCCCCCTCGGCGGGGCCCCGCAAGGTGTGGAAGGGGGAAGGGGGTATGCTGAGCAAGTTAAGACTCGGCGCCTTCTCGTCTCCAGGTGGCCCACACCGGTGTTTGATACTCATGAGGCACACAGCAGCAGTATCAGGTCTTACAAGAGTTGTTGGGGCATCATTCAGTGAGTTCAGTGTGTTCCTTTTCCCTCTGTCTGTCGACACCCTCGTGTTTTTCTCCATTTTCTGCTGCTGCTGCTGCTCTTGGTTGCTGTTGGTAGTACCCACACGCCCCTTCTTCCGTGTCCTATCTGTCCTTGCCTGCGAGGAAGGTGGTCCTGGGCACCAACATCGCCGAGACGTCGCTGACTATCGACGGCATCTGCTTTGTCGTCGACACGGGGTTCTGCAAGCAGAAGAGCTACAACCCCCGCTCGGGCATGGAGAGTCTCATCGTCACTCCCGTCAGCAAGGCCGCTTCCAGACAAAGGTGCGGGGGGTCGTGTTTTTCTTTTTAATTTTTTCGAATTTGGATACTATATTTAATTTCTGTTCGGAAATGTCGATTTTCTTTTGTTTTTTTTGCAGGTGGAGGGGGGTATTCGGGAGGGCGTAGTCTTGTTCCTTGGCTTTGCACAGTTCCCCCCCATCGACATACCCGCTTTCCGAAGGCAGAGGTGTGCAGCTTTGTGTTTTCGTGTTGTTCAAGCACAAGGCCCCCACCAAGCATCCCTCGTGGTCATTCATTCACTAAAGGCCTCCCTCTCAAACAGATCGGCGATGTCTATGCAATGGGTTGGAAGGAGAGTGAGTGGCTTGTGCGTGGTGTAGTGTAGCTGTGCCGTACCTGGAAAACATGCTACCCGCCCTTCGTCACGAGTCTTGGCCGCGGCTTGAGGGTCTGCCTGCAACTTCGGGCTCTGATTTGCCGTCTGATATGTGGCACTTTGACCCCAAGCAGATACGAGCACCGATGTTTCTTGAGTATGCTTCGAACAGCTTAGTCCTACACTCGCCACTTCTCCTGGCGTCGTTTTTTTTTTTTTTGCTTACATGCACCAATGATAAGTTTCTTGAGTAGTACTGCCACTGCTGCGACCAGCTTAGTCCTACACTCGCCACTACTCCTGGCGTCGTTTTTTTTTTTTTTTTGCTTACACGTACCAATGGCATTTTTTGTTCTTTCACTTGAGACCAAATACTCGAACCCCACCCCCGTCCCGCCAATGGTCCCGCCTCTCTTGTTCAAGATCGGGGAGAGCAGGGCGGACGCAGCCAGGGAAGTGCTTCCGGCTGTTCACGGCCTGGTCTTTCCAGCACGAGCTCGAGGACAACACCGTGCCAGAGATCCAGCGGACCAACATGGGCAACGTGGTGCTGCTGCTCAAGAGCCTGGGGATCAACGACCTGCTGCACTTCGAGTTCATGGACCCCCCGCCGCCAGAGACGCTGATCCGCGCCCTAGAGCAGGTGCACCCGTTTTTGCCTCTTGACACCTTGTAGCGGTTTCGGAGTAGTTTTTGTGTCTTGGTTATTTTTATGTTTTGTTGACGAGGCGCGGTTTGTTGTTTGTTTTTTGGCTTGCTTTCCTTGTTGACAGAGTATGTAGCGACAGAGTAAGCGCTGGCTCGTGTTTATGTCGAACCTGACACCTGCGTCGTCAGCATGGTCTTCGAGAATCGGAGTCCGATTTTTTTTTTTTTTTGTTCTTCACTTCAAATCAGCGCTCACAGCACTAGTGCTGTTTCTTCCCACCCGTGGTCATACAGAAGAGCCCCTCTCTACCCTCCCCTCCTGCGGTACTTTGCCTTCGATTTTTAATGCGAGGAGCCCAGCACTCTCTTTTCCCTCTGTGTACACACGAACTAGCGCTATCCACTTGTAGGCCAGAAGCGCAAGCGAGAGAAAAACTCACTTTGCAAGAAAGCTCGCTTACGCCGGGATTCGAACCCCTGACCTGACCTCTAGAAGGTTTCGAGGACTCCAACTAGACCACCGGGGCGACCGAATAAGGCGACGTGATGAAGGCGGTCGCCCTATCTACGACGGTTGAGATCGGCTGACATAGGCGGAACACCCAACACACGTTGAAAAAGGCGGCTGCCCCATGCAAGACGGTCGTCGTAAGCTGTCCCACCACAGCCCTGTTCGGGGATCCCCATTGCACATGCATGTCCTGCGACAACGACAAGGATGTTATCTTTTTTTGGGGCCTCTCTCCATGTTTGCTTATTACCCCCAACATTTGTGTGCCGTGCTAAGTTACGCTACGCTCACGCTGTTTGGCCGATGCGCTGTGTCGCCCCCCCAGCTCTATGCGCTTGGCGCGCTGAACGACCGAGGGGAGCTGACGAAGTTGGGGAGGCGTATGGCGGAGTTCCCGCTAGACCCGATGCTGAGCAAGACCGTCATCGCTGCGGAGAAGTACGGCTGTGTGGAAGAGGTGGGTGCTGCGATGGTAGCGGTAGCAGCTGCAGCCGCATGAAGCAGAGGAAGCGGAGGTGGGTGTTGGTATTGGCAGCGGCGACATTCTCGGTAGCAAAGCCAGCCGCAGCGGGAGCAGCACCGTCCGTAGCAGCAGCAGCAGCAGCAATACAACACCAGTGGCATCGATAAATAGTGCTATCTAGCACTGGCTGTGGCTTGAGCAGAACATGCCCCGGAAGACTTTGGGAACACAGGGAATTTGCGAACAGGGTAAAGAGCTTCCAACGACGATGTCAGGAGGAGAGCCTCACCAGGCCGTCTAGGAGCACACGTGCGTGCGTACACGCGCATGCGAAGACGATAAATGTGATGTTGTTGTCTTGACATGACACCGCGATAACTAAAACTTATTTCGCAGGGTCAGCCGAACTACGGCAAGCCGAGGCCGGAGCGGATCAATCAAAAGCCAGCGGAACTCATCTACCACCTGAAAAAGTCGCATTTCCAATCAACGTGACCTGGCTTGCCCGCCCCGCGAAGTGTTAAAAGTTCACTTTTCCCGACACGCCCTTGACCGCTGCCCTGTGCCATGTTCAATCCGGACTGCCCTGTGGAAACCCCCGTTTGTGTTTGTTCATGGCGGTAGTCCTCGAGCGTGCGCGTCCCCCCCAATAGCTTGTGTCCCACTGTCAACAAATATGCCCGTGGCTTTGTTGTTGTCCTTCTGGTCGTCATAACCGCCGCGACTCGCTCCTTAGGTGCTGAGCATCTGCGCCATGCTCTCGTGCGGCAACTCGGTCTTCTACAGGCCCAAGGACCACGCCGTCCACGCCGACAACGCCAGGCTCAACTTCGCCCGGGGAGGGGGCGGCGATCACGGGACCCTGATGAGGGTGTACAACCAGTGGGTCGAAACTAACTACAGCACGCAGGTGGGTTTGTTGAGTCGGCATCGCTGCGGCGGATAAACAGAATAGGCTTCTGAAGACCATGAACTGGGAGGGGAGGCTAAAGCTATCTTTGCAAGGCGCTTGTGTTCGGACCTGCCGCTACTGTATAGCGTCCCCGACACGGAACATTTCGGAACGAACACGAAACTATGCGATGACAAATGCAGCAACAGTGGACACGTGGGAGCTCATCATTGAACGAGCCATTCGGACGAATCATGTGCACTATGTTACACAAGAAGGTCACGGTTGTTATATATCCTGTGGCACGGGAGATGCCAGCGATATATTTTGCCCTTAGGGGAAAATTTTGAGGAGCTCATTCCGTCGTCTGTTTCTGATGCCCGCCTCCCGTTGCAGTGGTGCTACGAGAACTACGTGCAAGTGCGGAGCCTGAACCGAGCCCGGGACATCCGGGAGCAGCTGGAGGGCCTCTGCGAGAGGGTGGAGGTGGAAATCTCGAGCAATCCCACGGAAATGGAAGGGATCGCAAAGGTGACCGCTTTGTTTTTGTGTTTAGCGAAAATACAGCCTATCTGAAACGGCGGCGTGCACGCAATCGTAGTCTTGCCCGGTGTGCTACCTGCCTGCAGGCTGTCCGTCTGTTGCTAAGGCGGAGAGGCCCTACAAGTATCTCTTTCCCCTCACGTAGCTCCAGCTCGGCTCTGTACGGGGTACGCGACACGAGGTGTCCGGCAGAAACCATCGCTATGCTTAGCTTAGTGATGCACGACGAGTGAGGGCACCTCCCCCCTCCGTCACCACGTCATTCGCGGACGATTGACGTTGGCAACGTCAGTGTCTTTCGCAGCACTTGTCCGACTTACGCAATTCGGCGAGATTTCCCAGCCACCAAAAACATTCAAGTATCGCCTCCATGGTCGAGTTTCGCCCCCATCACACGGTGGCACGCCACATTGACCACCTCCTCACCATGCGCGCACGTTTGAGTTTACGCGGAGTCATGTTTCTCCTGTGCCGCCAACGCTACTACAGTCCGTTACCTTGAACAAGGCGAGTACGTAGGACTGCAGGCTTTACGCGGACTTCTGTTTAGTTTATGCCGCCAACGCCACTGAAGTACGCTGCCTTACCCTCTCCCAACCGCGACGCCCTCCCGGCTCGCCTCTCCTCAAACACACGAAACAGGCGATGACGTCCGGGTTTTTCTACAACACCGCCAAGATGTCCAAGTCGGGCGACTACAAGACCATCAAGAACCAACACACGGTCTACATCCACCCCAGCAGCGTTCTCCATAAGCAGGAGGTACGGCGATTCGCGGGATAAACATGCGGAACGAATGGCCCGGACGTGTGCATTTTGTGTTCTCTTTTCCGGAATAATTGACACGATACGCCGCTATGCGGTTCATATGCATGGTGCACACTGTGAGTGCATCGTCCTTGATGGCCCACGCCGCCGGCGTGCAGATGTTCGTATAAATTTTGTCCCCGTTGACCTTTTCATTCGAAGCTCCTGTTGGTTTCACGGACTCGATACGGTTTACGTCTCGGCAACTATTGCTTGACGCTGTTCTCGGTTTCCAAGGGTGCCGACGCCCAACGACCCTGGGCATGACAAGTGTTCATCGTTGCATGATTGGTTTTCTACGCCCCTCTCTTCTCCCCCCCGGCATTTTTTTCCACTCGGGTACGGTGTACAATACTTCACTCCCCTTCATCTCCAAGACTGCACTCCTGCCCGCCGAATTACTCGGCTCTCGATTTTGTGGTTCTTGCGTTGGGCCTGCTGATTGCGTGCAGGTTGACGGAGAGTTTGGCCTTGGGCGTCGACTTTTGCGCCCCCCCCCCCCCCCCCCCC